ACCTCCACTGTGAACATCAGGATTCCACATCACAATTTCCTCGCACCAATCCCCTATCCATTCCTTCACAGTTCCCAAACTATTCTCCATACACTCCTTAGAGTTGAAAGTTAACAACACATCTCTACCTCCTTCATCCCTCACTACCACATTCTCCATGCCCCTCTGCTGTAATTCATATTTAATCTTAACATTGGCGTATTCAACTTTAAGACGAACCACCACACTTTCATATAGCCACCCATTTCCGACTTCCTCTGCCTGGACAGATACAATTCCACTTTACATACCATGACTATTCTTAATGACCTCTACATACGTCCGAACACCTGCTGCTGGCTTCCACACACTGCCCTCACCCCTTCCACCATGTGGAAAACCTTTTGTTTGAGGAGGATATCGGGTTTTGACTTCCATATCTTTCTTACCATAATCTGAGTGCTTCACTACCAGTTGCTTATCATCCACCCATATCCCATTAGCCTTCTGCACTGTTACTTCTGCTACCACTTCACAATCATACCGAACAAAAGCAAACCTAGTGTTCCTCACTCTCCTTCTCTTCAGAGGAATGTAGACATCCTTCACCACTCCAAACTTCCTGAATATTTCCCCCAACATCTTCAAGCTCATTGATCTGGGTAGATCATCAACAAAGATCATGAATAATCTTGCATTAGCTTCATTTCTCCATCCTCCTTTACTTCCTCTCTGATTCAATACCGGAATCCATCCTCCTTTCTCCATTCCTCACACAACTCTGTTCAAGCTCAATTTTTAAACTCAAACACATTCCATCTCCATGATCGAACTCAGATAGATCCGAGCAGAGTTTTAAGAGAGAGAGCGAGATTTGCAGAGAGATCGAAGATAGAAGAAGAGAATCGAAGAATGATAATGCTCTGATCTGAGATAGAGAACAAATCAAGATTGAGTACGAGCTCGATGAGGACCTCATCAAACTAGTTAATAATTATCAAGTTAGGAGTGTTTTGGGAACTTTCAAAAAAGCTAATTTTTTGGCCTCTTAGCTTTTTTACACAAAAAAGTCAATTTTGTTTAACACAAAAAAGCCAAAAATCCACAAAAAAATCAAATAGTCATCTTTTTACCAACTTCTCAAAACACCACCTAGTCATTTTAGTTTAATTAGTTTTGACTCAATAAATGTAACTAATGGTTTCCCTTAGTCAAACATTAAAAAATATTACTTTTTCATATTTTAAAATTAATTGTGTCAAGGTTATAAAAAATAATTATAATTAAAATGAATAAAAGTAATATTTAAATAATACGAAAAAATAATAGAGAGTTTGTTGAATAATATATTTAAAAAGCTGTATAGCCAAATAGAAAAAATAACTTCCAATTTAAAACATAACAAAATTTTAACTAGTTTGTACTCTCTCATATAATACCGAATGAATAATCGCTTTCCATAAGCCACCAAAGAGATTAAAAAGGAAAGAAAATTCTTTCAACTCCTTGGCATGACTATTCTAGGGGTGCAACTCGGGCGGGTTCGGTCGGGTTGGGGGTCTGCCTAAGCCCGACCCGAATTGTATTTGGCACTGCCCAAGCCCGCCCAAGCCCGACCATGAACCCGAACATTGTTGCCCAAGCCCGGCCCAAGCTTTGTATTTTGAACTCGGGTTGCCCGAATTGCCCGAATTGCCCGAGTTCAGAAACCTGTAGGTAGATCTAAGGGTAGACATAAAAGATGCTAATCTAATGATAGAAAACTAACCAAAAAAAAATAAAAAATAAAAATTAAGACTAACTCTTTTACTTAATAGAAGACTAACCAAAAAAAAAAATAATAATAAAAATTAAGACTAACCCTTTTACTTAATTTATATATATTACATAATTTATTAAATTATATATATATTATATATTATATATTATAGTGAGAGAAGTTTTGGATTGTTTTGTTCGTATTGTATCTGTGGTTTTAGTGTGTCATGCTAGTTAAGATGTCCCTTTAGTGATGATACTCTTTTTAGCCTTTTTTTTATTATTGATGTATTCTGTAGGTACTCTTTGTACTTTATTTTACACTAATAATTTTTTTTTTTTTTTTTGCAAAAAATAAAAGTAAAAAAGATAAATTATACTTTACCTCCCTAAAATTTTACCTATTTCTCACTTTGGCCCTTTAACTTTAATTTTTTTCGCTTTAATTCTTTATGTTTACAATCATTTCCACTTTGACCTTTTAAGTTTGATTTTTCTCATTTTGGCCATTCATGTTCGCAATCCTTCCCCCTTTGGCCTTCATGTTTGCAATCATACCTATTTTACTTCTAGACTAACTTTCATCCAAAAAATTAACAAAATATGTCACATCACCAACACATCAACTCCATGTGTAATGTAAAAAAAATCACTAAAGATGCAAAAAAGATAAAAATAAATTGAAATTTTGAATTTTGAATTTTTTTTTTCTTCTAAATTTACTCATAAACATTATTACATTATAGATGCATCTAGATTAGATGCACCTAAAAAAATAAAAACAAATTTAACTAAAAAAAGAAAAAAGTTTACTAAAGACGAAAAAAATGAAAATATACTAATTCAAAGCGCTTATATTGTCAATTCTGAAATGAAAAGTTTATTTTTTTTTCGTCTTTAGTGAACTTTTTCCTTTTTTAGTTAAATTTGTTTTTATTTTTTTAAGTGCATCTAATTTAGATACGTATATATGTAATAAAGTTTATGAATAAATTTGAAAAAAAAAATCACTAAAGACAAAAAGGAAAGTCCAATTTTTTTGTTTTCTATTTTTTTATTTTTTGCATCTTTAGAAAAAAAAATTATATCACACGTGGAGCTGATGGGTTGGTGGTGATGTGGCAAATTCTATTAGTTTTTTTTTGATGGAAGTTAGATTATAAGTAAAATGGGAAGAATTACAAACAAAAAGAGCCAAAGTGGAAAGGATTGCAAGCATAAAGAGTCAAAGTGAAAAAAAAAAAATTTAAAGGGCCAAAGTGGGAAGGATTGGAAACATAAAAAACTAAAGTTGAAAAAATTACAAACATGAAGAGTCAAAGTGAGAAAAATTAAATTTAAAAAGCTAAAATAGAAAATGCTTGAAACTTCAAACGGGCAAAGTGTAAATTACCCACGTAAAAAGTAAAAACTGAAAGTGGAAATCATGGTTGAAGCACATGGTTCACAGAACAGAAGCTTGTACTTCAATCACAAAACTTTTTAATGGTCCATAGGAGAGAAGACAAGTTTAATGGTCCTTAGGTTTTGTTGATGTTTTATTTTATTTTTTTTATTTTTTTTGTTTTTGTTTTGCTGATATGTTGTACTTCCTTTTTGTTATTATTAATGAAGTTCTTACTTAAAACAACCCTCAATATTTTTCTTTCATTTTTAGCAGCTTCAAGTTTTCATGACAATACTTTCATGTTTTCTATCCCTTGCTCTATTTTTTCCCTAAATAATCTCATGGTGTCCCAACACTCATAGGAATCACATGATCATGTAAAATCAACTCCTAAATGAGGGTGCCCGCGTAATTGTGTAGCTCCTAGAGGCATTGAGGCAATGCCCCAACGTAACAGACAATAATTTTATCAACGATCTCATGTAACTTTTGAGGGAATCAAGAGATGCAATACAAGCCCAAATCTTTAAAGAGACTCAGGACCTCACTAATGAAAACTATTCGATGCTCCAAGGACACCGCGTGACCATGCCACTAATCAATTACCAATTGTCATGGTTCCTTATTGTTCTCCCAATCACCAAATAAATCGCTGGGTCAAATCCTCTCCACCAATCACAGTCGATTTGGGACACCACGATAACTTCTCCCAAACTAACCATAACATTGCTGGACCATGGTAGAGTATTTCATAGCACTAGCACACCTAAACTGAAAAGCTAATTAAAATGTACTTGTGGCTTTAACAGTTTTTATTCGGTGTTTTTTACTTGCTACAATATTTGCAGTCACTGAAAGAAAAAAGTCTTCTGTTGATATTCAAATTCAACAAGATCAAATTCATTAAAAAGGCCTTATGATTTTAGGTAGATGCTACTCTGCCCTAACGAAAGCCAAAATTTCCCTGGTAATAGGTCAACTCTTGACTTGTTGATCTGTAACTCTCCAACTTATGTATCCAAAAGGAACATTAGCTGCAATGGATTAAAATGTGTTGTAAGTACTAGGGTGTTCACAGAATGGATTAGTCCGGTTTTGGAGTAAATCAGGCACTAAATCGTTCCTATGATTACAAAAATGTTGGAACCGTAACCACACTGTTTAGCCTATGTAACCAAACCAAACCATAGAAATGGATTTAGTTCGGTTTGATCCTACAGTTTCTGAATATTATCTAACAGGAGATATAGCATACATTTTATTTTTTGATAAATGAGCAACTTTATTGAGATAGCATCAAGGCAATGCAATACAAACTAACACGAAGCAATAAAATTGAGTTGGCAAAAATTATTCAATTCCAGTGTCAAAGATAGGTGTTTGAATCTTGCTAGCCACTTCTACATTTTCGTTTACATATACCAAAAATATTAAAAAGAATAATAAACAAAAAGATCACAGTTCGGTTTGGTTCATAATCATAACTAAACCTTAACACTGCAAACCGACCGATTTTTCCACAATTTTCGAAACTGTGACCAGAACCGAAGCTAATAAAATCTGGACCAAACCGGGACCAGATTGGATTGGTTTATCAGGTATATGACTCGATACTATTATGCCCTAGATAATATAGAATAGTCAGAATCCATGGGAAGGATGCCAATAATCAACACCACATTGTCATGACAGACAACACCACATTGTCACGACAGACAAGATCAAGCTTTCTAATATTACACACAACTTTCTTCGTTTTTGGTGGTCATCTTTTGGTTCAGAGTACAAAGTCTTACGCAGCCATAAAGACCTGTTGAGGAATAATTCCCGAATGCACAAATTCTTCAGACTAGTAAAAACAAAAAACAAAAACAAAAAAAGAAAAATACTGTATATGAAATTCATATGGTAGTGTCACATATCTGTTAAAGTGAGTTCAACCAAAAGAAAGTAGTACCAGTACTACATTTCGTAAAATGTCGGCTGTGAGATTTACATATATATATATACTGTTTCGCAGGAAAGGACTTTTCAAATGCTTAACTGCACAATAAAAAAGATATAACAGCACTGGAACTACATAATAACCACACATATTACTAATTCACACTGGGATATACACTTCTTATTAACCAAGAAAGTCGAGAATGTATTACCTTTATTGTCGTATATTTTCTTCTTTCTCATACGACCTTCATTAAAGCAAAATCATTTTTTTATTGAGCACTTGGTAGTTCTAACTCTTTGGTTCTTCTAGTTTGTGTGTGCTAAATTTAACATTCACCAATTGAGCAGCTGCACGGGCAGCGGCTGTTGCACGCTCTGCAGCGGCAATAGCAGTGTGAGCTCTCTCCAATGCATCAGACGATTGCCGTCTCATCTCCTTTTTTAATTCACTAACTTGTGTTGCATTATCGTTCATTGATGACTTAGTTGCATCGTGACTTAACAGGGGCTTGATGTTGTCAGGGCTTGGAGATTGATGGGATTCGAGGCCCGCTTTCTTTGGTGCTGACATGATAGAATGTGCTTCGTTAGAAGGTGAATGTTCATGTAGGCCTTCTCTAGAGGGAGCTTGAGAAAGTGGTGTGCCACCATGTACTTGCTTTGGTCCATTCTACAAATAACATAAAAAATTCATGATTAAATATATAATGTGGAAGAAAAATGTCAATGTTGACAAGGACAGTGACTTTATTCCATTTTTATTTTACACAACTAGAATTTAACATACTTTCGAGACAATTTTCTTTTCAATTGTTAGATATCTAATAAAATCTAGTATTATTCTTTTTTTTAATTTATCATGGAAAAACACATAGTATACAGGAGAGCATTATGTAACCTCTCTTTTTTTCTTTTTCTTTTTTAACATTTAACACAAAATTTTAGTTCATTATATTTGATTTTTTCCTTCAAAAGAAAATCTATGGGGAATAAATCAGAGACAAATTTGGGTTAGCTTTGGATCGTTAAATTTGCTGTTTCGAGAAATTGTACCATATTTTGGAACATACATTCCAAAACATAAATCGCCAGGGTATTAATATTTCTAGTAACACTGCCTTAAACCATGTCGATCTCGCTACAAGTAGTCAGTAATGAATCAAATAACAATATGGAGGGGGTAAAAAAAGTATCCATTTAAAGAAATGAGGGGAACAAATGCAAAAAAGCCAGTACCAGCAGATCCTCGGGTGTTTTACTAAATTCAGCTTCAGTTTTGGAGGAATCCCACTCCACATTGTACTCTTGTGCAATATCCTTCAATACATTGAGCTTTATTTCCACAGATGGAGCACTGACTGAAAGTTTCTCAACTATCTGTAGAAATAATAGAAAAGATTCAAAAAGATGAAATCGATATGTCCAATTCACAGTAGTGCAAAAGATACAAGAGCCAATTAACTGTACGGTTGACACTGGTATCAGGCCGAAGCTCAGACGCAGCTGATATGAACTCCTTCCCATATTTTGCAGCAAATAAATTCCTCACATGCAACAAATCAGGCACATCTGAACATCTGGGACCCGCAAAGATTATGCTTGCAACAGCCTCACGCAATTCTGAAGGGCATTCCCTGTAATGTAGAAAGAGATATGATCATCAAATTGTGTCACAAACACAGATCTTACTAGAATAAGTGCATTCACTACGGGTTGTCATTTCAGGCCCTCAAGAATTGATGTACATGGGTATCAAAATGATGAAGACTGTAAATATAGCAATGACTATTGTCCAAAGTTCAAAACTGTGCACAAGTTGTGTAAAAAACACCTCAAAATCTCAACATCACATGACAATACCATTTTTCATGAAGAATTCAAGAATCAAATTTCGCCTTACACCTGAGAATTTCGTCCCAGTCCATCCAAAGAATAAAATGTAGATTCTAGAAAGCCGCCTGTTAAATTTCCATTCTTTTCATTCTTAACAACCCCAACCAAAATGAAAGAAAGAAAAACTTCTCCAGATGTTATGCAGCAATGGCTAAAAGAAACTCTGTTGTCGATGTACAAAACAAACCTCTTTTAGCGGGAGATGTGCCATCTGAACTTGCCAACAAACTTCTTGTTGGGTTGAAGTTTGAAATAAGGTCAATGATAATATGGTGCAATTAGCTTGTGACTAAGACAGAACGACTCAAGACAACTCCAACCTTTCCATGAGGTGGTTATTTGAACCTAGATTTTGATCTTCGGATATCCACAAGAGAATATTTTTTTCTAGGACCTTCCTTCTTGAAAGCTTTGACGGCCTCCAATTGGAACGTCAAGAGAACTTCCAAAAGTGTGAATCTTCATACATATAAAAAATAAATAAATAATAATAACAACAATAACAATATCTACTACTATTATAAAAGTGTGAACAGCCTGCCATGTTTTCTACTTTTTTAAAATCTCAATTTTACCCTCTCAAATCTACTATATTTTCTACAAGTCATAAAGAGTCCTATATAAACCAACTATAAACCAACTATCTCTTTATTTTTAAAATTGAACACTCAAAAACGATATATATGTTTCTAAGAGTCCTATATAAATATAAACAAACCGTCTCCCTTCTTACATAAAAAAAATAATAAATAAAAAAATGAAGAAGCCATCTCCATTTTTTTTACATTGATGATGATTGAAGAATAAAAAACAATTACTATGTCTTATTTTCTATGTCTGCTTCTATACTGATATACATAATATTTACAATTGTCCATCATGGAACTATCTCTTTATTTTTAGAGTTAAACACTAAAAAACAATATATATGCTTCCAAGAGTCCTATATAAATCAAGGCTATCAAGATCGCTATCCGGATTATAGGATCGTACGAACCTACAATCCAATATACACCATTCGATCCGACTCGTGCTTTGGATTGACCCCAGGTCAAGATCGTGGCTGGATCGTTAGGATCCTTGGGATCGTATCAGGATCGCGACTCTATGCGACCCTGATTTATAGGGTTTTTTGGCAACTTAAAAGCCAACAAACCTTTATCAAGAGCAAAAAAGAAGAAAAGTTAGACCCTCTGAGTTGCGATTAGGGCAATACAAATTGGGGAAAGAGAAATTGGACATCAAATTTCAGATTTTGAGTTAACTGAACCAGGTACGCTTCTTCTTCTTCGAATCTTCCATCTCTATATTTTTTTTTTTTTTCTGTCTTCTTCTTCGTTTCTTCTTCTTCGTTACTGCTGCTCTTCTTTTTCTTTCTCTTCACTGCTCTTCTTTTTCTTTCTCTTCACTGCTCTTCTTCCTTTCTCTTCGCTGCTCTTCTTTGAATCTTCTCTGTAGTTCAAATCACTATTTTTTCTTCTCCCGACTTCTTTTTTCCTCCTTTTCTCTCATCACCATTTTTTCTTCACTGTCTTATTTTTTCTATTTCTATATATTTTATATCTATATATATAGTCCGAATCACCTTTTTTTTTTTTTTGCTCTTAGTTTTTCTGTTTCTATATATTATATATATATTATATTATATATATTTGTATGAATGATTTTGTTGTTCTATTTCTTCATTTTCCTTCTTTTATTCTTCTTCATTTTTCTTGGTTCTTCTTTGCTGCTATGCTACTGCTATTCTTCTTTGTTGCTTTTTCCCTAAACTTTGCTGAAAAATTTTCTTTTAATTTTAACAATATGCAACACACAACTAGCATAGTAACACAATGTCAGCCTCTATTTAAGGAAGAGGAAAAATGCTACTGGTCACAGATATGATCCTGGTTGGAAACATGGCACTGAAGTAGATGCTGTGAGCAAAAAAGTAAAATGCAAGTATTGTAATGTTACTCGTTCTGGAGGAATATTTAGATTAAAACACCAATTTGCATGCACTCATCAAAATGTCGAACCATGCCCCCAAGTTCCGGAAGATGTTAGAGAAAAATTTATGAGTCTTTTAAGAACTCAAACATTAGAGTCTCAAAATAAGAAAAGGAGGGTGCTTGATATTGGTGATGATGATTCTGATGAAGAAGTGGAATTATTGCATGCTGGCCATCAAAACAAACAAAAACATTATGAGCGTATGGAGAAATTTTTGGTGAATAAGTCTCAACACCAAAATCAAAAAACTATCAATCAAATATTTAAGAAAGAAAAAAGAGATGATATTTGTCAAACAATTGCCCGATTTTTTTACACTAGTGCAATTCCTTTCAATTGTGCCAACGACCCTATATTTCCACTTATGGTTAAAAAAATTGGAGATTATGGAAAAGGCCTTGTGCCACCATCTTAACATGAAATTAGGGTGACATTTTTAAAAAAAGAAGCGTGTGAGACATTGCAAATACTTGATGAGTTCAAGGAATAATGGAAAAACACCGCGTGTACAATTATGTCTGATTGATGGTCGGATAAAAAGAGAAGGTCAATTTGTAATTTTCTTGTCAATAGCCCTAAACTATCTTTCTATCATCATCGGATACATCCAACATTTCAAAAACCGGTGAAAAGGGTTTTGAGATGTTGGATGAGGTCGTTGAGAAGGTTGGAGTGGAACATATCATGCAAGTGGCGACAGACAATGCTTTCTACCTTGAATTGCTATATTTCTTTTTTTTGGGGGGGGTCATTCTATATATATTTTGATAGTATTACTTAGTCATATAAAAATTATTGCGTTTTTTATCATTTTAGTAGGATCTTACGATCCTCAATCAAATCCTACGATCCGATCCGATCCGACAGACCCCCAAAACGATCCTGCCCCAAGTTTCGGAAGATGTTAGAGAAAAATTTATGAGTCTTTTAAGAACTCAAACATTAGAGTCTCAAAATAAGAAAAGGAGGATGCTTAATATTGGTGATGATGATTCTGATGAAGAAGTGGAATTATTGCATGCTGGCCATCAAAACAAACAAAAACATTATGAGCGTATGGAGAAATTTATGGTGAATAAGTCTCAACACCAAAATCAAAAAACTATCAATCAAATATTTAAGAAAGAAAAAAGAGATGATATTTGTCAAACAATTGCCCAATTTTTTTACACTAGTGCAATTCCTTTCAATTGTGCCAACGACCCTATATTTCCACTTATGGTTAAAAAAATTGGAGATTATGGAAAAGGCCTTGTGCCACCATCTTAACATGAAATTAGGGTGACATTTTTAAAAAAAGAAGCGTGTGAGACATTGCAAATACTTGATGAGTTCAAGGAATAATGGAAAAACACCGCGTGTACAATTATGTCTGATTGATGGTCGGATAAAAAGAGAAGGTCAATTTGTAATTTTCTTGTCAATAGCCCTAAACTATCTTTCTATCATCATCGGATACATCCAACATTTCAAAAACCGGTGAAAAGGGTTTTGAGATGTTGGATGAGGTTGTTGAGAAGGTTGGAGTGGAACATATCATGCAAGTGGCGACAGACAATGCTTTCTACCTTGAATTGCTATATTTCTTTTTTTTGGGGGGGTCATTCTATATATATTTTGATAGTATTACTTAGTCATATAAAAATTATTGCGTTTTTTATCATTTTAGTAGGATCTTACGATCCTCAATTAGATCCTACGATCCGATCCGATCCGATAGACCCCCAAAACGATCCTGTGTAGGATCTCAATCTTAACAATCTTGATATAAATATAAACAAACCATATCCCTTCTTATCAAAAAAATAAAAAAATAAATCATTTACATATTTTTTACATTGATGATGATTAAAAAATAAAAAATAATTATTGTCTTATTTCCTGTGTCTGTTTCTATATTGATATATATAATATTTACAATTGTCCATCATAGATCAAAATACTGTGAATAATTTTGATTGAATCTTAAAATTGTATACATTCGGAAAATGCATACGTTTTTAAAACAGACATTTGTACTACATCTCAAAAATTCGCAAATTATCTTCATACACTTTCTTTTTGTTTAAATTATATTTTATGAACAAAAAGAAACCTTGTTATCCTTACAATTTGACTAAAATATAATTCATTCTTTCTTTTACCCCAGCTCATTGAGCATTAAGTTTTGACTAAATTATCTTCAACGCAAATTATATTTTATCTTCATACACTTTCTTTGACTAATTTCCTTACAATGAAACCTTGTTATCCTTTCCATTACTTTCAAGAATTCGTTCTTTCTTTTACCCCAGCTCATTGAGCATTAAGTTTTGCAAAACAAGATTGGATTTCAACATTGAAAAGATGATTTTAAGGCAGGCGTCATAGGTCCCATTCATGATGTATGTCATTCATGATGAACTCGTAGAAACCAAGAGTAATAAGACACTACTTAGAAGGCATGCTGAAGTAGTAGCTACAGACAAATCAATTGGCACTAGAAGATAACACTTAAACATCAATGAAGGACCTAAGGGAGAAAGACTACTTTCAAATATTGAGCTTCAGTTATCTAATACAGAACAATCTGCATTACCACCAACTTAGGTGTGCATTCTCTTGCTAGAACATTAGGAGTTAGCTACAAAAATATTAGAATTTTGGTGGCATCTAACTGAAAACCAATCTGTTCTCTTATAGAGGTGAAGTAGTACACATCTAACACTCCCCTGCACAAGCAAACAAGTCTCACATGGTGGTGAGA